GTTAGTTCACAATGTACACACAAAGGCTTTCTCTTAGGCACCTTACAATGAGACTATTTATTTTCTTACTACTTTATGCAATTAGGATAATATTTCCATCTCCTCCCTTTCTTTAATTTTTAAAATCTTCTTCCTTTTTCAAAACCTTTTTGTTTTCAAACTTAAATCATTTTCTCAATAAACATTGACTTTGTCAAGTGATTTTCAAAACTTTTTTCTTAAATAAATGTTAAGACATCTTAAGCATATCAAAACAATTTCAAAAGACTTAAAAACCACAAAACTCATTCAAATCTTTTGTGCTTTTGTGCAACTTTTCCTTTTAAACCTTTTTCTAAGGATAATCATTAGTTGTGTTCTTGTAGTGATGCAACTCTTATACTTCCACAATAATGTAGAGAAGTGATGACATTTCCCACTTATATGTTGAGTGATAGACTTGTAGATTCTAATCCAAACAAAAATCCTCCATCTCAAGATGATGCAAATGCTCCTTCCTCAATATTTATGGGTAGTAAGTTGAGTTTTCCACTCGAATAAGATGAAATGTCTATTCATTTAAAATCAATCAAAACAAAAACTTTTGTTATTGTTACCACAAAATACGAGGTTTTGATCCTCCATTGCACTTTGATGGTACGTAGGTACGAGGCTCAAGAAGTCTTGTCAAACAAAAAATCTTAAAAAACTATTTCTCTTTCTCATCTCCCCAATCTTTTGCAAACAACGCCCATTTTTAAGCCAAACACAGATTTTCAAGAGGTTCCTATAGAGTACTATAGATGTGAGGGGTGCTAACACATTCTTTCGCATAACCAACCCCACATGCTCTTATCTCTTTGTTTTATTAGTTTTGTTTTAAAAATTTTGTGGGTTTTTTTCGTTCTTTTCACATTCTTTTGAAAACAATAAAGTTCGACGGCGACTCTTGCTTTGTGAGTTAAGTTAACCAATAGTTTAATCTCAAATTTTCACCGCTACACCATCCAAAGATTGATTAATTCATCTTTTCCGAAATAACTACCTTTGAGAAATATAGAACAATAAGCAAAATAACGTTTATGATTGGAAGGGAGATTATGGTAACTCAATCTCAACACTGGGTTGATGTTGTTGTCCCCATCTGATAAACGCCACACATCAGTCTCCAATATCTTCATCCACTGATGTTGAGAGAATTTTTTCGCAAGAGTTGACCCACCGTCTTTACTGCCAACAGTAAAACTCCACATTTGTTTACTATTTTTTTCAATTGATTCAAGATTTGAATATTCACACATGTTTTTTCTCCATGAAACACATGTGTTGCAAATAAACTCCACCGATCTCTTTTGTCCAATTTTTGTAAATGAAATATTTGGTGGAATTCAAGATATATGTTACCTCCTTGTCACGTGTCTTCGCAATAATCTTACTTCCAAAAGATCCATGGTTAGACGGTCCAATATTTATCAAATTGCATACATCTTGTAATTTATGATTTCCTCATTAACCTATATAATTTGATTCAATCCCAAATTCTTCAAAGTAAGGATAGTGAATGGATGTTTTCTAAGTTTTTCACACAAAATTTGATTTCCTCTTTTAATTCTAATTTATGCAAACATCAAAATTTGTATGAAAGACTTAGACTAGCACCCATTTATCATCATTGTTTTGAAGAATTTGTGACATCAAATCATCTTCTATAGGCTAAAGAGGAAATCATGAATTACAAGATGCATGTAATTTGATAAACATTAGATCGTCTAAGTTATTTTAGAAGAATAATTTAATTTTTTTTCTTCTAATTATTATATAAAAAAATCTATTTAAATGAATGAAAGTTCAATGAGGGGTTAGTGAACCAAACAATTACATATGATATAACAAACTCACTAACAATATTTATCAACAAAAACATTATTAACATAGATTAGGAGAACTTATAACTAACCGTTACTATAAGTTATGAAGAGAATAAAGTAGAAGGGAGAGTAGAAAACATGTGTTCACTATGAGAGTATTATATGAAAGACTTGTATAATATTTCCACAACAAACACAAGTTAGCTCTTAGATCCATGTTCACACAACTAGTTGTATCAGTGATAAGTAAAGAACATTAACCACTTGTTAGCTACAACATGCAACAACATTTATCAACAACATACATACCTTTAATTGAAAATTTTTGTGAAAAACAGCATGTTAACATAAACTAGCAGTACTTTGTAATCTAATCCAACAAAAGGTTAACATAAACTAGCATGTTAACATAACAGTACATTGTAATCCAACAAAAACTTATCAACCTATAAGGTTAACATGTGATCCAAGGTTAACTAGAAGTACATTGTAGTCCAACAAAAATTAAATCAACATGTGAAACATAATAAGGTCTTCAATCTCCATGCTTAGTTGAATTCGTAAAGTTCTCAAGGTCTTCATTCTCAAAGTCTTCATCTGATTCATAATCAGTTGTATCCAGATTCATTAGATCCTTCACAATAGCCTCTACCTTCCTTATCTTTCCAGGGTTAAGATTCTAGAAAAGAGTATTTTTATAGTCTGATCCACTAGACGATTCAACAACAGTAATGTGATCCCTAACAGATTCAACTTTCTTGGCTTTGTTAAACCATAACTTCACCATATCAATAACCTCCTTTGAAGCTCCAATCGCGTGGTCAAGTTTGCTTCCACTATTCATGTTAAGAGAAGTATCTGAAATCTGAATAAGAGAAACTCTATTTTAAAATAACCTACAACATACAACAACAAAAAAATATAAACTCACGAACGAGAAGAAAATCATGTTAAAATCATATGAAACATAACAACAACATACACGAAAATGAGAGAATAAGGAAGAAGAAGAATACCTTTATGTATGAAGAACAAGATTGAGGCTATTATGTATGAAGAACAAGATTGAGGCTATTATGTATAATAGCAAAGCTAATGACGAAAAAGAAGAGAGAAAACATGTGTTAAGATTTTGTTGTGAGAGATACTACAATACTGTCAAAAAACGATAGTTAACTCGCTTATATATGAGTAAACAATTTCAGTACGGTCGTATTCAAAAACCGTAATAAAATGTAATTCCTTTTGCAGTGGTTGACATTAACAACCATGGTATATTTTGTAGTAGTGATAGATGTTAGAGGTAAGCCAAACAATAGGTGGGAAAAGTAGAAAATTATTGGAGATGAGATTCAAACCCTGTCACTCCTATAAATATATAATCACGGTTATTTAGTTTGACTATAATGCAATGTATTTACGTAAATATAAAAATAAAAAACAAAGCACGTTCAAAAATAAGATATCACCACAATTAATTGTGAGACCATTATAATTTAGTGTTACCAAAAATATATTTTGTAGTAGTGATAGATGCTAGAGGTAAGGCAAACAATATGTGAAAAAATTAGCAATTGATTTGAGTCATATCATACAATTATGATTTGAATCAAATGAAAGATTGCTTGAATCAAAGTGATAAAATTTGAAAATGACTTGTTTGATTCGGATCATTATTTGATACATGTGATTCGAATCATGCAATTACATGATTCAAATCATAGTTGATTTTCAAAAGTTTGTTTAGTCAATTACATGATTCAAATCATAGTTGATTTTCAAAAGTTTGTTTAGTCATACAATATTGTGATTCAAATCAAGGGGATCAATGATTCAAATAACATATCCTTGATTCGTTTCACTAATAATACAAAGCCAAATTTTATATTGAATAATTTACTCGAATCATCCATAGTTGATTTTCATATTGAATAATTTACTCGAATCATCCATATCTTTGATTCGAATCAAACTTCAAAAACATCTAGTTTTAAATTTTCTAACTTGTGACTCTTGGAACACATATTTTGCCTTTGACCAACTTACTCAAACTAAATACAAATTGCAATGGATTCCATTCTAAGTTGAATGCAAGGGATAGCTCATGTATATTTCTACTAAGAAATCAACAGATACAAACGGGAAAATCAAATTACAAATTAGCGATAATTCAGAATTGTCGAAAATACAACAAAACATCAAAATATACAAATGAAATTCATCATTACTTAAAGAGCAATTTCATTTTTCTGTGTATTGGTATTACATTTGAAATTTCCAAAGACGTTTCTTTGTCGACAAATGGACTACAATCGCGATAAAAGAAAACAAGACTACAATGGTTACAAAAGAATAATTGCATACAAAATAGACTAAAGATGGGCTACAAGACTACAATGGGATACTCCATACTTGTTTCTCAATGGAGTACATACAAAAAATTTCAACATACCTGACAATTTTTCTCTGGAAACAAGTGAGAATCTATGGAGTATACTTTCTATGGACTAGCTGCAAAAACCTTTAATTCCAAAGAAAATGGCAGTGCTGTGCAAAAAGTATGCTCTTCTCCAGATTTCTTCTCAAGTCCTACAAAAACATCATTGTCTTAAGAAGACATTCAGAAATACTTCTATAAATATTAAATCATGTCCCCTTTTTGAAGATTCTAATATCATACACATGTTTCTAATATGAATATAGCAGAGAAAAATGAGGCAATTCTGCCATGCAGCCACTTTTTTCATCTAGAGTTTATGTCATGTCAATACAGAACGTTATCATAAGTATGTTTCCTTGTAACTAACATGCCTGTCCAGAATGTCATCAACCACGACAAGGAATTTGATTAAATCATATGATGCAAGGACAATTAGTAAACAGAAAAATGCGCTTTGAAAACAAAGATGCATAACATTCAATTTAAAATTTCTAGATTAACCATGATAACTGCTTTCCTAACAATAAAAAAAGAAACACATGCTCTTAATAACAACAGAAAATTAGAAAACAGTATCATTTATTTACATATATAGTATGTCTTGGTATGCAAGAAAGAGGTCAAGTAGACTTGCCACTGCTAAAATAAAGAGAAAAGTAAGACTTAGGTTGTACTTGCCTGCGGTAACATCTCATTTCTGTTCCTCAATTCAGTCAAACTATGAACACCAAAGGGATGTGGCGAATTGTATGCCAACACTCTCCTTCTTCCTTTTGGTACTTCTTCTTAAGCAACGGACAATTACGAATCTCCAAATAAGAAAGGGAGTTGGGTAGACCCTCCTCTGGCAAGCGCTCAAGACTAGGACAGTCGGCAATAAACAAAGATTTGAGAGATTTGAGATGGAGAAAACCCTTGAAGTTCATTATTCTTAGCTTTGAACATTCGTACAAATAAAGAGACTCGAGACTTGGTGGCAGCAGATTCTCATCTGGGAAGGACTCCACGCTTTCAAACTTATCACTCAATCGAAGCACTTTCAGAAAATTGAGTTGGAACAACAAACACCACACCTCTCTCGAAGCAATTAGTTTTGGACAATTGTGTACGTGAAGGTACCTCAAGTTGGAAGACGAACCTCCCATAGAAAAAGAATCCAGCTCAGGACAATCTAATAACTCGAGAGAATGAAGATTGGTGAACAAGTGTAGTGAACAAGGAAGGGAGAGGTTCCAGCCTTTTAAACATAGTGTGTGAAGAGAGTTATAGCAACCCAAATCCAACTCCGATCCTTCCAAAATGGGATTGTTGATTAAATTATGTGCTTCGGAGAACTCAGCGTACCGAATTCCACTAAGGACAAACTTTTTCAAGCTGGACGAAAGTTTACTTATCAAAATCCGATCACATCCCTTTACCTCTAACTCTATGATATTATCAGCCTTGGGAATTGATACCGCCAACTCTCCACAGCTAAAAATCTTCAGCTTTTGTAAAGAAGGAAGATGTTGAGGCAGGGCCCTTTTCAATTTGGGACAATTTCTTATAGAAAGACTTTTAAGCAAAGGAAACTCTCCAAAACATAACCATTCCTCCCAATTGTTCATCCTCTCAAATTCCAAAACTTCTAGGGACTTGAACGGAACATTTATTGAGTTACTGCCATAAAACTCTTCCCCAATGATCTTTATTCCGTTACAGCTTGAAATAGAAAGCTCCTTGAGAGATGGGAGTTGTCCTAGTGGTGGAAAATAGGAACATGATCTACAAATCTGCAGTTTAAGAGATATTAAGTTGGGTAAATGACAACTCCTTAGCCAATCGGGAAACATATTGCCACGGTAGTTCTTAATGGTGAGCCTCTTCAAGTTGCTATTTGGTTGAAGAGCATCCAAGACAGACACTTGTCTTACAACATATGAACCCCTCATTTCTTCTCTTCCGCCATTAAATGTCATAAGTATTTCTTCTAAATACTTCTTATTTTTCAAAATTGTTGATGCATCGTCTATAAGATCAATGACATTACCCAGCCCTGTAATTTGAAGTGTTCCATGAAGATGGTTAAGTTTCTCCAACTCCTTAAGATCAGATCCGTTTTGCTCTTCCACCTTAAAATAAGGCAAGGCCTGGAGATTGGTTAAATTGCCTATATGCTTTGGCATCTTCTTTAAAGAATATGGGAGTTTAAGATGACGTAAATTTATGAGTTTGGAAAAATTTGAAGGGAGCTCGGTCAATTTATCAAAGTTTCCCAACAAGAGTGTTTGCAGATTATACAACATACAAATGGCGTCAGGTAAGCTTCTTATATGAGTGTAAGAAAGGTCTAGATAACGCAGAAGCTTTAAATTGCTAATCTCGTCAACTAGCTCTGAGAGGCCACAACCATTGAATGATAACATTCGCAAATATTTTAGTCTTGAAAACATATCACGTTGCACATCGTTGCTTATCAATATAGATCCATCGCCTTTTAGTAACAGACTACGTAGTCCCTTAAGCTGACAAATTGGCTCTAGTGATTTATCAACATAAGTTAATTGAAGAGAGCACCGAATGTGACGTGTCCTTTCAGGGATACCTTCCACCATAGAACCATTTACTTGCATGAAAAAATCTTCTGATACTGAATTTGCTAAATCATTGATAAGATCGTGCATGACAAAGTGGTGCTTATATCTACCAAGTATTAGATGATATGGTTGTTGGAAAAAAGAAATTGACTCAAGATCATTGAAAATTTCATTACCCAATTCTTCTTCACTTTTTCCCGCTCCGCAACACTTCAACAAACCTTCAGCCATCCAAAGCTTGATTAATTCATCTTTGCCAAAACGACTACCTTTGGGAAATATAGAACAAAAAGAAAAACAACGCTTCTGATTGGAAGGGAGATTATGGTAACTCAATCTCAGCACAGGATTAATGCTGTTGTCCACATCTGATAAACACCACATATCCGTCTCCAATATCTTTATCCATTCATGTTGAGAGAATTTTTTCCGCAAGAGTTGGCCCATTGTTTTTACTGCTAATGGTAAACCTCCACATTTGTTTACTATTTTTTTGCCAATTGATTCAAGATTTGGATATTCACACATGTTCTTTCCATGAAACGCATGTGTCACAAATAAACTCCAACAATGTCTTTTGTCCAATTGTTGTAAATCAAATATTTTCGTGGAATTCAGGACATATGCTACCTCCTTGTCACGTGTCGTCACAATAATCTTACTTCCAAAAGATCCATGGTTAAAGGGAAGTAGTAACTGCTCCCAATAATCCGCATTCCCATTCCAGATATCATCTAAAACAAGCAAGTATTTCTTACCAGTTAGTATGTGTTGTAGTTTATCTTGGAGTAAATTGAAAATTGATTCATCATCTTCTGAAGAGTTAAAAGACTTGAGAATTGCTTTGGTGAGTCCAACAGCATCAAAAGGTTCTGAAACATAAACCCATGCTTTAAGTTCAAAATGATCCTCAATCCTACTTTCATTGTACACGAACTTAGCAAAGGTCGTCTTACCCATCCCACCTAGACCCACTATGCTGGATACAGGTGTCTGGTTGCCACTGCCATTGTTTGAAAGTAAAATTTTGACCATTTCATCTTTCTCATCGTCCCTACCATATATGCGGGATGCATCCACCAAATATGAAGTAGGCGGTCTTTCTAAAGGTTTCAAACTGACTCCATCTTCATTACGAGCCCAAGTTCCATTTTTCAATCCAAACACATCTTTTTGCTCAGAAAGATGTTTTAGATTCTTTAACAATTCTTTGATCCGTGATTCAAATGAATTATTAAAAGCGGAAAAATAGCCAAGAAATTTGTTGCTAGTAGAAGGTTGAGATTCTACTTTCAACTTCTTGAGCGAGGCATCACAAGATATCTCATCCAAGAGTTGGTCAGCCTCATACATAGCATGTTTAACATCGCCAAGCCACTTCTTGACGTTTGAGATTTGGTATTGTTTTATCTCTGCATCATCCAACACTTGATTGATAGACTCGAGTGTAGACTCAAGTTCCTCCACCAACTTGTCAAGTTTGCCTCTACGGAAATAGTCGGTGAAATTACTCGAAGCCAACCTATCAAAAACCATTTGAAAGAAAGACGAAAGAAAAGCTCCAGCAATATGTTCTGCCATGATTTTTCTGTAATAGAGAATAAAGAAATTTGAGATATGAGTGTGATGCACTACATTCAGAGGCTCTCTGCAGCAATTATATTTTCTTTGAATACTTCACTTGAAACATGAATAAATATTTCTTAGGAGTAGAAAATGTTACACACGAATAGTTCTTTTGTTTCAAAAAGTGAATTCTAGTCCTAAAGTGAATTCGACCCTGGTGACCAGAGTTAGAATCAGGGTAAATTATCCAGAAATTCTCACACTGATCATTCATCTATATTTCTTCTCTAGAAAATAGATAATTAGGGTTGACTCAGTTACAAAGGAGTTTTGTGGTGGGTTCAACTCCACCGGCCGATGCCGATGCCGATGCGAAGACTAAACTCAATTGATAAAAACCTATTTAATATGATTTATCTAAAGTGACAACAAATCATTTAAATCAAATCTAACCTAGAAAATTATGCATTAAAAACGTATAAAAAGAAATTTACAAAGAGAGAAAGATAATTACCTGCAGGTGTAGTGTGAGTGAACAATCTGAGAATATGATCTCTCCGTAAAAGAGAACCTGAGAATGAATGCAAAAGTAAGAGTAAGATTTAGGAATTAGAGGCAACACAAAATCAAAATCCAAAATATAAAAAACAATAAGAAAGAGGGGAAAAAATGTTACCTATGAGTGTAAATCTGAGTAAACAATCTGAGACTATGATCTCTCTGTAAAAAGAAACACAGATTGAATATAGAAAGATTGGAGATGAAATGAGTACAATATAAAAAAAGGAGTATTAAGATATGAGATTGAAAATGAGAGGAACCACTTGACAGAGAGTGTGTGAAAGTAGGATAAAGATGATGTCTAAAAGAGAAGTCAATGAGAAGTAAATAGAAAAATGAATGACAAAATAAAGAGTGTATGTTCTCAGTACTTTTTAATTTTTTTTTGGAAAAATTAGTTTGAGCATACGAAATATACAAAAGAACACTGATTAAATTGATACATCAATGGCTAACGCTATTTTTTTTCATAAGAATGTTCTCAAAATAAATAATTGTAGATCATAATTAATTTTATAATTTTTTTTTTTATGTTTTTTACTTGCATAAAATTATTAGTTTATTTTAATTTTGTTATTTTATATTGTTGAGTTTGTAATTTCTTGTGTCGAAGCAATGTAACTCGACAGAAATAAGGATTAGTCACATTAGTCTAGTGTGTTAGTGTGTCGAATAATTTATTGTATGAAAGAAATTTTACCCCATGCCCCTACACTTATACCCACACCCCTACACTAAAAAATATTGGACTAAAATATCTTTGTTTAAATATTTATAATTTTTTCACCTACAAACCGGAACTCTTCCAACAAGTCATCCGGAACACATTTTTTGACCAACACATATCGGAACTCAAAGAGAAAGTCTTCCGGTTTGTGAATTTTATGAGTTGTTCACCGGAAGACTTAGTGCATGTCTTCCGGTTTGTAGTTTTTTTGTGTTTTTTCACCGGAAGACTTAATGCATGTCTTCCGGTTCATAAGTTTTTTATTTTGTTCACCGAAAGTCTTGGGTTAAGTCTTCCGGAACACATGTTGTGTCTCTTTTTACAAACAGCCACATCACGCCATTCTATCACGCGCATTCTCTCCTATCCTCATATTAAACTCATTGGCTCAACAGTCCCTCCGTCGCGCCTGCGGCAGCTACAACCTAGAAATGCGAATTGAACTCACCGTTCTCTTCAGCTCATTTCGCTCCCCCTCAAGTAAACCTTCATTTTTTCAAATCCTAACCAATTGAACCTAAAGCTAAGCGAATCCACAAACCCTAACTCACTAAGAAATTAAATTAAACGCTTGTGGTGCTTGATCTTGGATCAAGACCAAGGGGGAAAGGTCATATTCAACTCTCTTTATCTCGTGATATCAAGAAAAATGTGAAAGGACTTGTGGCGACTTACCTCGACGGAGATACGCGACGGAGGTGACGACGGAAATGCAGATATGCAACTTATATGTTAGGTTTCTTGAAGCTTCTTCTTGCTTCTGTTCCTTTCTAGCTTCTTCTACTTCTTCTCCACTCGTAGTCCATAGGAAATTGTGACTTTGTGTTGTTATTGCGCTTGTGATGTTGTATGAATTAAGCGTTGTTGTTGTTGTTCTTGAACGTTGTTGAATTCTGAATAGCGAAGAACTGTGAAGAATAATGTGTTCTTGAGAGTGTAGTTGAGCAGTGAGAAATTGAGAGAAAAACTGAATTTGAATTGGTTCAGAGGATGAATTTTGAAGGAGTGAGTGAGATGAGAATGTGAGAGGTTGAGATAATATTTGGAGAGTTTTGTGGTGAAGAAGATTGAACTGTTGAAAAAAGGATTGGAGAGAGCCGAATGAGAGTGACGAAGATGGATGAATTATGTCAAACTGAATGGTCCAATCAATTGGTGATGAATGACTTGAATTTATAGCATTGTTTTTGTAACTGAATCAGTTAGGGGTGAGGGTTAGGTTTGAAAGTTCATGGAGAGTTAGTTAGGGATGAGCAAAGTTAGTTATGTTGTTAGATTTGTTGTGTAATTCTGTTATGAAACTGATGATGGAATTCTGTTGTGACTGCTTGAGCTAGTAACTGTCAAAAACTGAAAATCCTTGTTACGGTTAGTTATGGACTTGGTTCAGGTTAGTTACCATTTGGTGGTTAAATTGTTATTGGACTTGGCTGGAACTTTCAATATTTTCATAAATAATTCTTCCCTCTCCCAATATTTCATTCTTGTCTGAACTGGAAGCACAACCTTTGTAAAAACCCAAGGAAAAAAGGGAGACAGTGATCATCCTCACAATTTGACGAATCACCTGCCAAGGGTGGATCATGATGCTCAGAACAAGGATGCAAGAAAACTTTGAGTATTGCAGGAACTGTACATGATATGCTCTTGTGGATTGTGTCATAGCAATGATCATGCTCATATCTCACTTGTTTATAGAATTAATATATTTTCATCAATTAATTGTCTTAACCTTGTTTGTTTATGTGTATTTTTCATCAATTAATTGTTTGAATCATCTATTGATCTTGATATTATGTTTTAGGCAGATTAAATGGTATATGGATTTTCCAAGTTATTGAAACTTCCATGAAGATAATGACATCTTTCCTTAGTGGAATGAGATGATATAAAGGCCTTACACCATGTTTAGAGACACTTTAAGGTAAGTATTGACTAGTGCTTAAAATCCAGCGTTAAAATCCTATTCATTTAACTAGGTCTCTAGATTCATTAGTATGACAACTAACATGCAACTTTTCCTCCACACAATAGGCGTCGGTGTAAGTTAGAAGGGGTTCTCCACTGAATAAACACAACCTCTTTCTAGCTTCTGCTCTTAGTTACTTTCCTTCTAAATCAAGAATTTAATATTTTTAAAACATGATCAAATTGTAATAAAGAGGTAGTGGAAAACCATATTTGTCTTCCATCTAACATTAATTATCTTCTAGTGTTTGATTGGATATCTATAAGAGGATTATTAGATAGTACATGTGTCTATGGAACCATTTTTTTTCTTTCATCTAGCACTAATTATCTTCAAGTCAATATCGACTAAACCAATGATCATTTTTCTACTGCATATATCAGAAGGACTAAAACTAGAAATTGTATGGTCACTTCACGAGTTCAAGGCTGATTTAATTCAACTTCAATCTCGTGTCAAGAGTTCCTATTTTTCCAAGTTCGACTCAATTCAAAGAAATTAGGTATGAATCTCTAGAAGGCAACTTAAGGTTCACAATTTTATTTTTGCATGTATTATTACTTTACAGAAACAATAGTTTGCGGGAGATAATGCGTAATATATTACCATAATTTGTATCACATATATAAACAAGTGACTTTGGAACGTTACTTTTGGCTCTTTGCAATTTCACAACTATTTTTTAATATGATATTCAATGATCTGTTATGCTTTAGTGAAGATACGTTCTTCTTTGGGAAAACCTGTTTCTGACCCTGAATAATTTGCTGATTATTTTCCCGATGATGAGTAGATGTTGGTAGAATATTTTTCATATCCATTTCATACAATTGGTGAACCTTCATATGTTTACCCTGCTGTAAAGCCCTAAATGTTGGTAGAATATTTTGCATATCCATTTCATACAATTGATTATAGGTTTTATTCTAGGTTCGCCTCCATCTTTCTTTATGTATGATTAAACATACATCTCTTACTATGTAATCTAACTTTCTTTGAGATAAAATTAGAGGATGAAAGTACTTGGTTTATCTAACTATCTAGTCTTAGTCTCAATATTTTGAAGGTAATGAATTATTGAAAGTGAAGCGAATCTATTACATGAATAAAGTTGATTGATTATTACCCATGTCTCATTCTGTATATTACAAATTTTCACTATACGAATCTTAATTTGATATCTAATATTATAATTTGTATGAATAGTTACACCATACTTGTCTCTATTTAAGGATGCCAATGGGAACATTTTGAACTTGGGTGGCTTTTACTTGCTTATTTGGTATTGTGCAGTTTGGGACAACTGCAGTATTTATTGAGAAGGATCTCAAAGATTGGCAGCTCAATTTTATTGACGAGGCTTATAGTACTTTGTACCTGGTTTGTAAGTTAAATTTGATTGCTCAATTTTCATATTTCATTACTACGGGGTCATTTCAAGTTTCCATCTTCGTAGATAATTTAGCAATTTTTCTTTTAGGCTAATGATGGAAATTAAAATTTCAAATATATTGCATCATCATATAATAGAATATGAATTTTGTCATGAATTAGTTAATTTGTTACAGTTAGTTATCATACTAGAGTTTGTGTATATGTTTTGTTTATAATTGAAGAGAAAATAAGGGCAAACTTTACATAACCGTAAAACAGTTTATAGATGTATCATAAGATAATTCCATATCCTTTTCCAAACACTTACGAATGTACTGACATAAGAGTTTAAATAAGCTCTTCCAAGTGCAGTTAATAGGTGAT